GCGACTTATCCTACGCGATCAAGCGGTTCGTGGCTGACAAATATGAAAAACATGCCCCATCGCTATCCAACAACCTCACTACCTCATCGTTCATACTTGCACCATCATACATACACACTCTTAGCTTAGAGGGGAGGGATAAGCATATAGCGTCTGGTTGCTCGGAAGGCCCACGTCGGCTGATCAGGTTATGTGCTTGTTCTGAAACTATTTGCTTTGGGTATCTCTCTAAACTTGCCATTGCCATCGCCACCATCATCGTCACCGTCATCGTCATCGTCATCGTCATCGTCATCGTCATCGTCATCGTCCTTGACATCGACATTGTCAAAATCGTTGTTGTTGGCATTGTTACTGCTTATTGGACACCATCGGATCCTGCCAGGTAAGTAATCAACTGTGTTCCGTGACCTCCGTGACCCCTCTGTTTCCGTGACCCCTGTGTTCCGTGACCCCTCTGTTTCCGTGAACCCTCTGTTTCCGTGACCCCTGTGTTCCGTGACCCCTCTGTTCCGAGACCTCTAGTTCCCAACCCAACTTCCGTGACCATTTCCGCAACAATAATGGGGGAAACTATGCCATTTTTTTTTTCATCACGTCTATGAGGGGGAGACTATGCCAAAAATTTTTATATCGTCTATGAGGGGGAGACTATGCCAATTTTTTTTATCACGTCTATAAGGGGGAGACTATGCTCAATTTTTTTCATCATGTCTATGAGGGGCAGACTATGCCAAATTTTTTCATCACGTCTATGAGGGGAAGACTAATTGTGTTCGTATGCTGATGCAAGTAACTCCTATTATGGCTCGGAAACATCGTAAACTCTCCCTATCTCCACCCACCGACGGTGGTGCCGGTGAATCCGAAGACGGTCACTGACTCTCTCGGTCTTCTCTATGACGTCTTGGTGAATAGGACAGTGATGGATCCCGAGTTGGTTGACGACGTAGCTGGTTTCACTGCGGATATGGTCGTAGGTAAATGTGAGTAACATCATTCCATCATTCCACCATTCCACCGTCCGAAACGTTCAAGCTGATTTGAGCACAGTCCGAAAAGATCGACCTTTGCCAGCTCCGGAAGAACCCTTGATGCTCGCCCTCTCGACTTTACTCGATGAAAAGATGAATGTGATCAACGAAAGGCTCAACGTGTCCCAAGAACGTTTGGATCGAAAGTTGGACGGTTTGAACGATCGCCTGACCACTCTCACCGCTACCGTCAACACGATCTCAACCAGGACCAACACCTTGATCGGTCAGGTTAACAAGATGGATGTTAGAATCGATAAGATGGATTCACAAATTAATAGGATGGACGCTTTGCACAGGCAATATTACGCTCAGGTGAGTTTGGTCAACGTTGGAAGAATTTCACATCCTCCTCGACTTGTGTTCCGTTTCACGTTCTTTCAACATTGGCTGGTCGTTCCGTTCTCCCATTCATTTTTTGATAATTCTCTCTTCGTGTACCTCTCTCTCTGAGCAGCTGGATTCGGTGTACCTGTATCTGAACCCCTCTCTTTCTCTCAGCAAGCCTTGTTCCATCTGTTACTTTTCGTAACCCGTGTGTCCGCTATCGTCGTTTATCATAACCTCTATTCTCTGTCATTCATCGCTGTTTCACTCCCCCCCCCACCCCCCCCCCCACCCCCCTCCGGTTCGAGAAAACTGACCACGGGATCAACTCGAAAGGAACCGGTTGCTGACATAAAAACAAAACAGATCGCGAATCGACGTCGTCGTACCCTCGGACAAGACTTTGTTCCGGTACCCAGCTCCTTATTCCCTCTGGACAAGAATCCACCCAACTTTCCTCGAAGGGTGAGTTTGAGTTTGAGATTGTTTTTGTTTGCTTTTCCTCTGTTCTTGCAATTTTGTTTTTCCGTCCGTTCCGTTCCAAATCGATATCCGAACAAAACTTTCTGGTCGTTCTTGCACATTGTTTTTGATCGATCCGGTCCGAGTCGATATCAGAACAAACTATCGGGTCGTTCTTGCACTTTGTTTCCTTTCCGTTCCAATCCTGATCGATCTCCAACATGGTTATGATATTACATCTCGCGGGAGGAGTGGATATCATCATCATCCGACATGTCAGAACCGAGGGTATATCATGATGCAACGTTCGGAACATGAATCATGGGTGTCGGGCATTCAGGAGTGAATCATGGCTTTCGGTCATTCAGGAGTGAATCATGGCTTTCGGTCATTCATAAATGAATCATGACACATGACTCGGACACGAATTGATGGAAAATATGAGACAGGTTACGAAATGAGGTCACATCTCATCCGTAACCCACATGTCCTGCTCCAATCACCGACCATCTCTCTTGATCTGATCACTTGGGACCGTGATCGGTATTCTTCTCTCTGGCGAGCATGTCGACCTCCCTCCTCCCTCCCGCCGAGCAGGCCTTGATCCCCCTCCAACGTCTTCCACCCTATCATTTCCCAGCAACGGTCACTTTGTTTTCTCCGTCGTATCTATAAAGTTCTACCACTCTCTGTCTCTGGCTTTGAATGAGGTGTGGTTGGCTTCTGACAAACCATCCATGTCCATGACAGAAACTCGAGCAAGACTCCCCCGTTCTCACCATTCAAAACCCGGAGTTGGCTCTTCCCAAGTCGATCGATGCGTCTCTGGCAGAAAGTGTCGTCTCTTTGATCGTGGCCCTACGAACCCTACGCTGACGACCAGGTCGCACGTACCCTCGTCAACCTCCGGAGCGTGCAAGAGCTACTCGACCCCGAGCTCGACGGGTGGCTTGAATGGTACGGTCGAAAGGTCAAGGTCGTCGATACGAGGCGGGGAAAAGAATCGTGGTTGTGGGCGTTTTTATATGGGGAGGTGGATGTCTTGTGAGAATTGTGGGTTTTTTCTTTTTTCTTTTTTCCCAAGGAATCAAAACGTTCAATCTTCACTATGCTGACGGGAACGCAGTCCGAAAAAAAAAAACTGAAAAGAAAAGAGGAAAAAAAAGAAGAAGAAAAACTCTTGACTTGATTCTTCCGTTTCTTCATTTCAACTCTCACCATATTCCACGATCTATTTTTTTTTATTTTTTTTATTTTGAATCCCCTTTCCCAATATGCATGTTGATACATTTGTTTATCTTTGTTGTTTTGATCATGCTCAACTAATGATACCAAACCAACCATTCTTGACTTTGGGAAAATGACCAGGAAAGAACGGTTGAGCCTTGTTGCCTTTTTAGGGTGAAAAATTTTCTTTTCCTTTCACACTTACTTTTCTTACCCTCTTGTCGTCGCCTTCAATTATCTAAGTAATCCCTGACTGCCTAGTACACTTTAACCCTGGAATTGACTTGAGGTTAAGTGCATGGATATGATCAGTGGGGGGAAAGATCCGAGAATTTTTTCAGCTCATGTTTTGTTTTATCGTCAGTAAAAAAGAAATACATGTTTTTGTTGGCGAGTCGTTGTTTTGAGGGCGTTATGAAGACCCAAAAACATCGTTTTATATGAACACAAGTGGCATCACACGGATTGACATTTTCCCATGACTTTTGAACCGGGCCCGACTGTATGTATCGTCATCTGATTCAATGGTCGGTTGATGACGTCCCAGTCAGTATGTGAATCATCCGTTTTACCGTGAGATCATGGACCAGGGTCAGGTTTGGACGAGTTTGCCCTCCCTCGCCCATGGTGATCGGTCCTCGATGAATGGATCCAATACGGGGCTTGATCTTTTGGACCTGATTGGATGGATGGGGCCGGATGGGCCGGATGGATGGATGGATGATCATACTTGGTATTCGCTATCTGCTATCTTGGGCAATGGTAGGACGGTTCAAGATCGGATAGCCAGCCCTGGATCTTGAACCGTCCTAACAGGTAAAGGCTCGATATCACTATCAACTCTGCTTAAAAGGATCGAGGGTTGATCTCGCTACAAGTACAGATCGTGACGGATGAAGGCTAACTAACTTGCGATTCAGCCGAGATAAAATCGGAATGAATTTCTTTTCAAAGCGGTTCATCTCATTCCCACACAGACAACAAACTCTGTTTTTTAAAACTCTACGACTGTCCGTGTCCGTGTAAAAACCTCGAACCGATCTCGTACCTTCTGCCCAGCTCTGCATCTTGACCAATCTCCTTCCAATACTCTGCATGGTCCTTACCGTCGGTCAAGACGTCAGACATCAATGGCCACGAGTCGGGGCGAGGTTCGGACCGAGGTGTCGAGGTGTAGAAACGGACCAGGTCGGTCACGGTTCGTTTCAAGCCTGTATCCATGGGTGCTTGGCTCAATTCGCTTTCGGACGGTTCCAGTTGCATGATCGCTCGGTAATCTGTCAAAAGTCAAAGTCAGCCCTCCCTAGCCGAGTGGAGGATGATGAGCGGTTGAGGTAGAGGAGGATGTGACGACGAGATGATGATGGATTTGGCAAAAGGTAACGAGGACGGAGATCAAGGTCATGAGAACGAGAACCGAGAGGAAATGCTCACTCTCCAACTTTGATAGTATGATCCTTTTGACCGTTTCATCTGATTCGATCAGTCCATTCGGTCATCACAGACCGGAGATCCAACCGCCGACTGTGTCGCTCTTTTTTTCCCCCTCCGTCAAGATGGATATCGGACAGATCACAGGGGAGCGCGACAACGTCCGGCGGGAGATCAGAGTGATTCGAGACGTGTCCGTGTCTGGGAGAAAGGGGGAAGGGGGGGCTGGCTTTTGCGTCGAACACGAGCATCAAAGTGAAGAGTGTGTGGGGGGGGGGGGGAAGCAAAAGGAGGAACCCACTAGGTTGATCAAACGACACAGGCATAGGTTTCTCAAACCACGCATGACCTCGGACCTCACATGACCCCAAAGATAACCCATCAAGACCTTACTGGTGTTTCTCACTTCGGGTCTCTTGCTGAATTCCGATTCGCTCAGACAACCGAAAACGCCATAGGCGCGTTTCAAGAGGGAAAGCACGTTTGGGCCCATGGTCTTTGACTGACGATGACGGTAGATGTCTTCAAGGGCGAGGGTGGACCATGAGAAGGCCAGAGGTAAAAAGTCTTGGATGAGGTGATGGACGAGTGGGTCGATCGAGTGGCTTGGGTCGGATGAAAATGGCGGATGTGGATGGGAGGAAAGGATGAGGGCGGCTTGGTACCAGTAGGAGAGACAGGTGTCTAGTGCTCGGGTCTGGGAAGGGAGTCAGCGGGGATGACATGTGGGGTGTGACAGAAAAAGTCTACGGGTGGGAGGAGGGAACGGTTACCAACAAGGACATGCGTATACGGGTTGGCTGCGGAAAGAGTGCGTATGGAGAGGACAAGGTGGAGAAAACGTGCATATGGAGCAAGTGTGTGACGGACAAGGTTTGAGCGAGTATATCGAGACGAGGATGAGATGGGCGGATGAACGAGGTTGAAAAGAACCGAAACTCACGTTTGAAATCGTCATCAAACAATAACAAGATCCCATCCTGCCCAATAGATCATTGACGATCCTATCATATCCGATAGAGGTCAACAGACCATCAAATGCCAACCATCTCCCAACCCCTAACCCTATTTTGAACTGCAACCGTGTCCCGGTCCTTCCCGTGCGGATAGACTCTCGAC